GCAGCTGAATGCAATATCAGAAGGGGTTTAACCGTTGGGTCTGGAAGCTACGGATAGAGCTGACTTGTTGACTAGGATTCAGATTGCTCAGGAGCAGGATGAGAATCTGAACAAGGTGTCACAGGATGATAAGACAGAATATCAAACTTCAAACAATAGGAGCATTTTTGTGAACGGACGGGTACGTGTTCCAGATGTGAAGGAGTTAAGGGATGAGATCCTGATGGAGGCACATCAGTCAAGGTTTTCTGTTCATCCGGGAATGACCAAGATGTATCGAGATTTGAAACAGTACTATCATTGGGTTGGGATGAAACGTGATGTGGCTAAGTGGGTAGCCGGATGTGAGACGTGCCAATTGGTTAAGGCACAACATCAGTTTCCGAGTGGTTTGTTGCAAACGTTGCCAATGTCGGAATGGAAATGGGACATGATCACCATGGACTTTGTATTGGGATTACCCAAGACTACGAAGTTGCACGACGGGATATGGGTCATTGTGGATCGTTTGACTAAGTCTGCTCACTTCTTAGCAATAAAAAAGACGGATGGGGTACCAAAGTTGGTGAAAATGTACATTGATCAGATCGTGAGGTTGCATGGAGTGCCAGTGAGTATCATCTCAGATCGTGATCCGAAGTTTACTTCAAGGTTCTGGAAAGAATTCCAGGAAGCGTGTGGAACGCGGTTGCATATGAGTACAGCGTATCATCCTCAGACTGATGGGCAATCAGAACAGACGATCAGGATATTGGAGGATATGTTGAGAGCGTGTGTACTGGACTGGGGCGGTAGTTGGGAAGACTACTTACCGTTGGCTGAATTTGCGTACAACAATAGTTACCAAAGGAGCATTGAGATGTCTCCGTATGGGGCGTTGTATGGCAGGCCATGCATGACACCATTGTGTTGGACACAAGTGGGGGAGCGTAGCGTAATGGAGCCAGCAGTGGTCGAGGCTACTACAGAAAAGATCAGATTGTTAAAAGTTAAGCTGAAAGAGGCTATGGACAGGCAGAAAAGTTATGCAGACAAGCGTCGCAGGGATTTGGAGTTCAGTGTGGGTGATATGGTTTATCTTAAGGCACTGACTTATAAGGGAACGGACAGGGCAGCTAAGAGTGCCAAGTTGAATCCGAGGTACATGGGGCCGTACCGGATACTGGAAAGAGTTGGCGCAGTGGCTTACAAGTTGGACTTGCCATCAGAAATGGGAGCGTTCCATAATGTATTCCATGTGTCACAGCTAAGGAAGCACATTACCGAATGGGAAACAGTTATAGAGGAACCACCAGCAGACTTGCAAGAGGACCTTGCAGTAGTGGCTAGGCCGGTTCGGGTGATAGGTCGGAAAGAAAAGACTAAGTGTGGGAAGCTGGTAAGAAAGGTTCAGGTCGTATGGGACTGCGACGGGCAGGAACATGTTACTTGGGAAAATGAAGTCAGGATAAAATCTGAGTATCCCAAATGGTTTGACAAGTTGCAAACGGATGAGTCGGATTCGAGGACGAATCCAGAACGGGTGGGGGAGAGTTGTAGCATCCGTATCCGAGAGAATTCGGAATGATCGAGCTGGACAGGGCGTTGTCCGAGGAATGATCGAGCCAAGGGTCGGATATTGGCTGGGAAATGGAGGTTCGGACTATGGTCTGGTGATGACCGGGGAAATAGTCGGATGGTTGGCTGGATAGCCGAGCCAGACAGACCATATTCGAGGGAAGCAGGGTCCAGTCCGGGGGAAATAGAATTTATCCCGGTGCAGTGGGATTTATCCGAGAGTCTGGGAGGTTAGTCCGAGTGTCAGTGGACTGTCTCCGAGGGAGAAAGGGAAACCTCCGAGAAAAATAGAGGATTAGTCGAGGTGGGACAAGTTGTCCGAGAGAAATAGGAATATCCGTGTGAAAAATGGAAAACACCTCGGATAAGGGCGGTTTATCCGAGTGGAAAGGGATTTGGGCCGTGGGCCAAGTGTTTGGTCGGCTATTTTGTGGTTTATCGAGGGAATGGTCAAGCCGGTACAGGAAATAGCCGAGATAATCGAATCGGACCGGGATAAAACCTACTGGAACCAGGAAAACGTCGGATAAATCTGGGTTATCTAGGGTTTTGCGAGTTTATAAGGGATTTTGAGACTTTTCTCGGGAGAGTTGTGTTTATTTGAGAGCAATAAAGCAAAGAAAGAGAATAGTCGAGAGAAAACCCTAAGAAAAACAGTGTATCCCGAGGACATCCGAGAGAGATCAGGTTATCGCCAAGCAGATCCGACCATCGCCGAGATAAACTGGTAAGCGATCGGATATTTCCCTAAGTGTTGAGTTTTCATCGGATAACCTCGAGCTAATAGCCTTGTTTTGTGGAGTTTTCGAGGGTAAACAGAGTTTGGTTCGAAGAAAGGTGAACGGATCGAGAGATAGCCGAGGGGAAAAGGATCAGATCGTACGGAAAGCCGAGAGATTCTTAAGGAGATCGGATATCTTCGTTTTGGTGCGGATTTCATCGGGATTTCTTCTGACCAATCTGTTTTCAGCCTTGTTTAAGGTGAGTGCGTGATTGTGGTTGGTGTCTAGAACCGTATGATTGCTAGGGTTGAATGTTTGCATGTTTATTGTGTGATTTTCATGTTATGTGTTTAGAACTGATAAGCAATTCTCATGTTATGATATATTAAGGTGTTTACCGTGGCATAGATGATGTCTAGCTAACCTCAGGGTAATCCAGATCATGTACTAGCTTAGGGGATGTGGGATTCTCGCTGAAGTAGACATGGGTCTTAAAAAGAGATTGAACTTGGTTGGTTAAGTTAGATGATCATGGCCGTTTGATATTGTTATGTCTATTGCGAATTGATTGTGTTAAATGTTGAATCCGAAAGTATGATTGCGTGTTTGGTACTGACCAGGTGTTACGGGATGACCGTACTCACTAAGTATTTATGAAATACTTATGCTTCTCTTCTTGAGTGTGTAGGTACTAAGCAGTAAAGGGGCGAGACCAGGCGGCAGTGATGGATATGGATGGATCGGGACTGGGTTTTATTTATGTTTAAGACGTTGTGATTTATCTTATGGCTTTGGTGTTTGATCGTTAGGTTGCTAGATGATCAGTTGTAATCGTTAACGAACCTTGTGCTTTGGTATTTGATAACCCCGAATCTTGTTTAAGTGTTTTATGAAAGTTAAATGAATAAGATGAGTTGTTTTATATTCCGCTGAGTGTTGATAAGAAAGAATAAGAATAAAGAAAAAGTTTAAAAATATGGCTAAGTATAGAAACGGACTTAGAGGATGTAGTGGGACACGGCCGCGGTACGGTTTACCGGGTTGGGTTACCACAAGTTACTTCTGCAATCAACATATGTCACTATTAAACACATTACACGCCAATTGCTTGACCAAATAGTTCTCAGAGTACCAAATAAGAAGAAAAGGAGTAAGTCTCCCAAAGCCTGGAGATTCAAGTTTAAAAATAAGGCGCACAAAAGGGGATGGATACAAGCGAACGTCTTTTGTGAGGAGTTAATGAAATTGGCTTATGGGACTACAAGTGCTGAGCGGTTGTGTAGTTACAAGCTGCGAAGCGACATAGCTTTCATAATGAAGTGGAGAGGGTACAAATTTAAGTATTGGAGACAGTTGCGCCTGATCAATAAGGATGAAAGGAACACCAATTTGTGGAATTCAGGAGACTCTAAGCTACCATCCATTACATTTGCGACAGCAGTAGATCTCAAATCATTTCATTACCACCCACTACTTCTTAGATCCTTCACGGACAAAGAAGGAGATACGACTGTTTCAGAATTGCAAATGTGGGTTATGGTCATTCTCAAGTTCTTTATGAGTTTGAACTTACAAAGATTCTGAAAAATCACAGAGAAGGTATGGAATTTAATTCGTTGATGGAGCAGCATTTTCATAAGGCTCGCCTTCACACTGATTCCACACTAACTATGCCTGGTTATTCAGTCTCTGTTGTCGTTGCTGGGTTGACATCTCTGCAGTGGGAATTGTCTCAATGGCAGCAATTGCTTAGTAACAAGCGCCTGAATTTTCTTTGTCTTGTGACTGGTGTACTATCTGTGAAGCAAAAAGAAACTTTGCCAAAAAAAGTGGTGGTTTAAGTTCAAAACCAGGATTACACTATCTTCGTGTCTCTGGTTGTTGTTTCAGAACATCGTTATGTCTTAGTATCGGCGGGAAGTGATGGTTTGTGCCAGAAAAGAGATGTTTCTTGTGTTTTCTCATCTACTCATGGAACGATGGGATAGTAAATGCAAAATGAGGATGCAGCAGAACTCATGAGACAGTTTATCGTTGCTGTTGCGCACTCTCAACGGAGGCACAACGTGAGAGCTAGGGTAGAGGCAAAGCTGCAGGTTCCGCTTGGTTGTGAGTGTGTGATAAGTGCTCTCCGAATGACCATTCAACATAGGAACTTGATGACTTTCACAGCGATTTATCGAATTTAGGAAGCATAGCATTACGTTCCAAATAATTCTACAAACACTGCTTCTCAAGTATGGCATCGTTGGAAGAATAAGGCTTCAAACTTGCAGGCGAATTCAGGTCTTCGGTTGCGGAGCCTGAAACAGAGGGAACTGCAGCACACTTCTTGGAAATTAAGTCAGTTTCTTCCCATCAAGCTTGAGGGCAAGCTTGTTCTAAATGGAGAAAGTATTGATAAGGTTCATCAAGCTTAATATAGAAGAAGAAAGAAGAAGGTGAGAGACAAAGAGCCGAGTCAATTAGTCAAAGATGACGTGGAAGCTGAACTAGAGCTCGTAAGTGAATAAGAAACCTCAGTGAGAGTATAAATAGAAAGAGAGAGTTTGTTAGAATTTTATGGAGAAAATATACAGTGAAATAGATATTGCGTATGGGCAATTGGAATAGATATTGCGTATGGACAATTCTCTTATTGTATGTGATCTTGATCATTTTCTGTTATTCTTGTGTTACATTTGATTTCAGTAAAGAGTTTGCGATATCAAACCCTAACATATAAGTCCTCTTCTAAGTTAACCATCTATCATTTAAATCAGATACAAACTCGGTCGACATCACAAACCTTACATTCAACTGGAACATATGTGCTTAGCCGTATGTTTGATGGCCTAAGACTCAAAATGAACTAAGAGTCGTATGTTTCAAAGAACTCAGAAGCATTGATTCATCTATAACCAGCATGAACTCAAAACAAAACACTGATAGGAATTAAAAGGAATAAATCAGGAGTTTTTAAAATTGTAACTGCTAAGAAAGTCCTAAAACAGGAGGCATGTAGAAGACTCGGAGCAAAAACCCTATCAAAAGCTAATGGCATATCATCTGACTTTCACAACCTCCACTTCATAAACTAGCCACGCATTCTTAGGGACATCACCATTCAATCCCTCCTCCGAGTACCTATGTTATTCACATCCACAGCAAGAGAAACAATGCAGGTTGTATAAACTAAAGTAATGTCCTGAGCTATATCAAATACACATGCTCAAATGAAATCATTACGACATACCCGAGGGATGGCGGAATGATGAGTCTTCTCTTATCACCAACTCGCATCCCTGAGAGTTAGATAAAGCAGAGCCGTATTCTTAGAAAAATATCAAAAATTTATGACCTTTCCGGTCGAAATCATCTACTGGTTACGCCACTTGACATACCTTCTACACCAACGCTGAGACCTTTTATGACTTTCTCTCCGCCTGCAATCAGAGCAATATCATTAAACAAAAGCTGAAAGTGCTTAAGCCTTTAAGGATAGGAGGAAGAACAACGACGGTAAGACATCTATGAAAATATTTACCTAAGCGAAATCTGAATGGAGTTTCTCCGATGTTTGAGTTAACCATTTCTCCAGTGTCTTTTAACTTGGAAGTATATAGTATGCTCACCTGAAACAACCATCAATCGTTTTAAAAAATTCCCGTGGTGCTCCGAATTGAGATAGTATCAAGATTGAATATAAATAAGATGTAAAATGATGCTCACTTTTTTCCCATTCACGGCTGTTTTCCCGTCTGGCTTTCCTTGCTCAATTTCCTCAATGATTACTTCATTTGAAACAGCTTCTTTCTCAACGTTCCTATTCATTATGAAAATAAAATTTATTGGACAAAGCACCAGCAATAGTGAAGAGAATATTCACTCAAAGTCTCAAAACCCAAAAGCGACAACGTAAGCAAAAGCTTGTTTCAGGAACTCAATGTTGAGAATAACAGCTACCTAAAAAGAAAGGTATAGAACTCACTTCTCATGGTCGATCGCTTGTTTCTTGCTCTCTGTAGCTTCTTCTCTTCTATCTCTTTTCCTCTTTTTCTTTGTGGTGTCATCACCATTCTGAGAGGGCAACGCATCGATTGATGATTCGATCCCCCTGACATATTAACTGAAATTTTAGAACAGAGAGTTTTGACTCGCCAGCATAAAACCGTAATACCAATGAGTATATAATAACTTTCTAATGGATGGTACCACTTACTTTTCAGAAGCTTGCTTCTCATTCTGAAGACTTTCAGGCATATGCCTTTCATCTCCCTCATCTAGATTAATCACAACTGAAGTCTTAGACTTTTCCTTGTTTTGTTTTTTCTTCGGAAGAGTTTCACATTCATTCTTAACGGGTGAAGGTTCAGCAACAACCAAAAGCTTATCCTCACTGGCATATGAAACATATTAAGTCTATAAAAGGTTTAAAAAAGCTACAAAGATACCAATACTATGAGGTGAAACTTTCTTACCTTTTATCCAGAGTGTTGTCGGTTTGAGTTTTTGCTTCCGACGTCTTCTCACACTTGGAATTAGGCTCGCCATTTTCAAAAATCGAACTTCTTGCCTTTGATCTTGTAAGCCTTGAAGGCAAAGGATTCTCTGCATGAATCTTGTTTTCAACTTCTATCGAATCCTCATTGGTAGAGTCATCAGCTCTAGCTGAAGTTTCATCAGAATCTGAATCAGAGACCTGAAATTTCTTCCTTAGTCTTCCACCTTTTCGATATGTTTCCTTGTCCTTTGTTTTCGCTGCCATTTCCTTAATAGATACTGGAAAGGAAACAAGATTATTTTCAATGGTACAGTACCAGAAAGAGACACTGTGAAATCCACAAGAATGCTTTCTCCACCAAAAGACCCTACAGAGAATAAAACTAAATGAAAACTGCAACTAGATGCTTAGTGAAAAACTAACACCCATATAGAAATCGAAAATGTTATGTATGTGTACGTGCGAAGTACCTTGTCAACCAAAGTAATAAAGACAGACTACAAAGTAACTCTGAAGATATAATTTAAACCCACAAAGTAAACATAACATATAAATACTAAATTTCAAGTACGAAGCAAGATACGAAATGGCATACTTTCATCTTCGTCAGTACTAGAGACGTGAGAACCGAGGGCAGATGGATCATTGTCATTGATGAAACTATCGCTATAATCATAATCATCACTGCTACCTTTCTCCAAGTCTGTATCTACTATATCCTCGCCGTAAGACTCACTTTTAAATCAAGTCAAGGATACATACAAATAACAATAATCCAAATGCACTTTTCATCTAAACTACCGATAAGAGAGGATACGATTCGTCATCATTTTGGCCTAAACCGGAACCCTTTCCGAGGAAGTAGCCAGTGAGGTGAATACTCCGAGGTCCGATGACAGAGAAGACAACATCATCAGCTTCTTCAAACTCAATATTGAGTTGGCAAGAATCAACCTTTTCAGGAGACAGGACACACAAGAAAAGTGGACTTTTGTTCCCAACATTACACTGAAGAATGCTTCTAGTTGTTGCATTACCAAGCCCCAATGTCGCCTAAAACCACAAATGTATCAAAGCTCAGACAAATGATCCCAAATAACGAAAAAAAAAATTTCTTGTAAGTATATGTAAACTTATAATCTTATTTAAACACGCCCAAATCAAGAGCAGCCATATGAAATGAGCAAAACAGAGCAAATAAAGCGTCGCAATTACAAAATCAGTCAAGCAAACAAAAAAACCCACAACTTCCAAGCTTATCTAAGCACGTCCAAATCAAGAGCAGACATAAGAAACTTAACCAAACAGAGAAAATAAAGCGACCCAATTACAAAATCTGAAATATGTAGGGTAGAAATTGAGATAACAGACCTGGGAAAGGTGAAGTCTTTTAATTTCAGTAGATTTAAGAGTAAAAGGCTTTCCTGGCTTCAATTCAACTCCTGTAAACACACGAGATCTGTCATCAACACCAAACTTCGTCTAATAAAAATTAAGCTTTTTCTTATAATCAAATCGGTGATTATATAGGGTTTAAAAGATGACAAACGTTAACACCCACCCCAGAAAGCCATTGAATTTGATCAAAAGAATGAAAGAAAATCGTCAAAGAGGACACTATGGCGAGGTTTTTGTTAGCGAGGGTTTATGGTGTTGGCGCCCTTATTTATTTGGAGTTTTTTCTTCTTTAGTTATGACAGAATATTTTTAGTTAAAAACGCTTGGATTGTAGAAATCAATTAAGAGATTTGACCTAGATATCGATGCTTAAATTGATTAGAAGTAGTGATGACATATTGACAAAATTATGATAACTCAATCGACAATTTAGAAATTGGATATATTTTTAGTTGGGAAAATATCTTATTTAAAAAACATATATTATTTTTAGCTATATATATTTTAGAATTAGGTTGTTGGTTTGATATATGTCAAATTTTTCAATTAAAATTTTAATATGTGTATCAGTTAAAGAATAAATAAAATTTAAAAAAATATTATTAATGTTTTATAAAAAATAAAAAATATAACTATTACAATGTCTAAAAAAAATTTAATAAATTAAAAAGAAAAATATATATATACTAACTAAGAAAATGAAAACAAAACTAAGAAAAAATAAGAATATTCATAAAATATATATATATATATATATATTGATATGCTCAAATTAACTCTTAGAGTTACTCTCTCAAATTAAGAGATCATTGTAGTACTTAGAGACCGAATCCACAAGGACTTAAGGCTATTATTCAACAAATTTTAAATTCAAATAAATCTAAGCAGTCAATAATAAATAAAACTAAAATAGCAACGAAAGCAATGAAATCACGGACGGATTGTAGGTTCTTAAAATCAATAGAGACAAGGCGCTAGACAATGGCAAATTTGCAAGTTGACATAAATCGCAGACTACAAACTGAAAGAAATATTTATTAAAACCGTTCTAGAACTCGAAAACACTAATTTAAAACCAATCGACTTCCGTCGTAGAGATAAACTATGATCAGATTCTAGAATTCTAAATTCCTTTGCAAATTCTAACAACCTAAACAAGCATTATAGTTCAGGTTCGATATGTTCACAAAATCACTAATCCAAATTCTTTTGCAATTAGTTATTTTGCTCATCTAAGATAGTTCTGGTGATTAACAATGTTTCTACATCTATTAAACAACCTAAGATCTGATTTCTAGGTGATCAATCTTAAAATCAGTGTTAAAGCAATCTAGATGAAGAACCAATGGATTTATTCCTTCGGTTTTGTAGTTCTAATAATTCATTATCAACCTTTGAATAACCCAAAACCTAACTAGCAGATTACTCAGACATAGCAAGTGAAACACAAATCATGGCTGAATAAAATTGCATTAAGAAATATAGTAAAAGATGAAGGGGTTCAAAATTCTTCTCTACAGAGTATGGATTTGTCTCCCCAAAAGCTCTCAATCTAATCTCTCTCTTAGTCTCAATGAAAACACGATAATGGCCTAACAATGGCTCTGAAAACCTAAATACAAGTCTAAACATGAACTGGGGCAAAAGTGCAAATAGTGAGAAACATCTGAGCCAAGTTGCAAATTCTTCCATTGAGTTTTACACATTCTTCGCGACCACGACCGGTGTCGATCGACACCAAGTGGTGGGTGTCGATCGACACCCTGCTTCGTAGTGCTCTCCGACTTGGTCTTTTCAGCATCAACTTCAACATAGCACCAAAAGGCTTCAAAACTCACAGTTATGCTCCAAACGTACCTAGACCTGCAAAGACTCTATAGGACTCGAAAAATACCGGAAGACTCTATAAACAAGACTTATATCATGGTAAAAAACCAGCAAAAACCATGATATATCAACTCCCCCAGACTTATCTTTTGCTTGCCCTCAAGCAAACATCAGACAAAGCCTAGAGTCGAGGTTTGAAACACACAGAAAAAGTCAGCCTGACATCAGGAACACCACATTGATTAACACTTTCGAATCCACATGCCACAGAGTCAACACAAGATCAAATTTCAGTCTAATCATCACAGGCTTAGCAAATCTTTCAAATCCAATTCAAGCTCCTTCCAAAAATCCGAAATCTCTATTGCTTAACTCCTTATTTCTATCTAAGTGATGTCTCACCAAGGTTTTATCATCTCAATCACTTATAGATTCTTTTCCCTTCCTAAACAACTGGACAAAGCAATCTCAACACAGCTTTCCTCTTTTCTCTTCCCTTGATCTTTTCTTTTTGATATATTTTTTTATTTTAAGCTCTTTCTCATTCTTTTACAGTCTAAGATATGATGCTACTCAATACTTGTGCTCCTTGTGAGGATACAGGTTCTTGAATGTGTTCATTACTGTTGTTCCTTGTGAGGAGACAAGGTCATGAATACACCTTTCTTTTGACTCAAACTTTTAAAGCTCGATCAGGGAAGATCAAAGAGAAACTGTGTCTTAACATACTTGTCAGAGTTAGAAGAGAGAATCAAGATCAAAGAGAATCAAGCACCAAGACAAGAAGTTTTAAGTTCATTAAAGTGGAGCTAACAACAAATTTTTCAGATTCTCTAAAACCCTAAACCTTCATTGCTAGACTGATCTACCTATGACTTTCAACTTAGTAAGACTTGTAATCAACAACTGTGGCAATGGTTCTTATAAGCATCAATGTTTTATGGCTGGTTCCAAGAAACTGACAATTTCAAAAATTTTGACACAATAAAACAGGTTTTAACTCAACTTTGAGACTCTATAAATCAAAAACAATGTACACAATGTCAGCAACGACCTTCCCCAGACTTAAACAACACTGTCCCCAGTGTAATCAAACATGGAGTTGGTAAAAACAAGCTATGAAACGGTTTGTACAGAGATGAGAAAATGGTACATGTGCCCGTGCGTGGTGTCGATCGACACCACATGGTTGGTGTCGATCGACACCATGTCCGAAAACAGAATGGGATGACCCAAACATGTGTATTTGTTGCAAGTTAGATTGTTAGCTGAAGTTCTCCCAAGTCAAGACTGTTAGGAACACTCAAGCAAACAATTAAAAGCAACAACATAATCCATAATCTCATCAGTTCAAACAAGTTTCAAAACATAATCAAAGCTGACAAAGTGACTCAAGACAAAGACATAAAAACTGACTCAAGAGAAAATGAAAAAGAACAAAGGGAAAAGAAAAAGTAACAAGGATAGATAGGGGAACTAATCCTCATCCTTAGTATCAGGCAAGTGGGGGCGAACACAACCGCAATTAGACAGCACTGAGATGGCATTCCACAGCGCCTGAACACTCTGCACCATGAAACGCTGAAAAGTGGCCTGCTCCATCGGAATGTCTGGAAACGGTGGAAGCTCATGTCGACCAATCATCTGGACACACGCAGGCTTCTGCCCCGTGATGACTCGTCGCCTTTCCCCTCAGAGGACGAATCCCGGAGAGACGGCTCCACCCTCTAGACGAATCACACATCCCCACGTCGCATCCCGAAATTTACTCCCGCACAATTGGCACTAGAAGGAAGGGGAAAAACCGGTGAACGTTCCATGAAGGAAGCAATCTACACGGGTTAATCTTACGAGCCATAGATCCACTCGGCAAAACACAAAGCTCCGAGACCATCACACATACTTGCTTCAAAGCCGAGAAGTCCACCTGCAAAGATAAAAACGAAGTGATATACAAACACGGCGCATGAAAGATGAAAACGTGCGAAGCAAACGCATATGCATTAAAAACAACAATTGGGCAAAAAAACGGCTGCCGATTTAGGTTCAAAAGTAAAATTTACAAGGGGTACAAGTCCCAGAAACAAAGTCTTTTCTATAAAAAAATCTGGAGGGCATGAAAATCCCGCCAATGAAGAAGGGCCCGCACCTCCAACACCTCCAACGCCTCCAGTTGCCCCTGAAGTATCCGGCCCCCGTGGCTCGCCCCGTCGTCGTTCTTCTTCGAGCTTCTGCCTGAGCATGCAGACCGTGGTCTTGCTCATCGTGAAGGCCTCGGCCGCCATCAGCGCCAGGTCACCTCGGCTCAAAGAGCAAACCCCCGGTACACCATAAGTGTTTGACGGAGCGTTTGTACTTCCGAGTTGCGAGCTTCCAGATCTCGCTGGCTATCGGTCAACGCCAAGGATAGGCGTTCTATCTCCGCGCTGAGGTCTTCACCCCGAGAGGAAGTCTGGACTTCAGGAAGTTGCTCCCGGGTCACCAAGAGTTCGGCCTGAAGCTTGCTGAACCCTATCAGCAACGCCACATTCACGATGTTCGGCTGCGTGGAGCTCGTGCTCTAGCATCTCAAGCAGGCGCTAGCTCTGTCAAGCAACAAGACGACACGTAAGAAATGAAGAGCCAAAAAGCAGAAAGGGAAGAAGTCCCGAAGAAAGAAGACCTACCGCGTCCAGAGATTGCCTGAGCTCCGAGGCAGTTAGCCACCACCCGGTGAGCTTGCGGGTCAAGGTAGCGGTAGGACGAGGAGGAAAAAATAACGGCTCCGACTCCGAAGAGATGCTCATCGCCTTTGGCAAGCCTGGTACAGCAGGGACCAGAGCGGTAGCTCGCACGATCCTGGACCTCTCGACGGTCCTTAGGTACTTGGGGGCATCGTTATCCCTCAGGGTATTGCTTCTGGCAGAAGGGCCAGACTCTGAAGAAGTGAGCACAGGGCGGATGGTGGAAGATTCGGGAGACCATCTCGCCCTCACCACCGGAGACCCGGTTAGGCACCTCTGGAGCGAAGGCCGAGACGAAGCTTCCCCTTCGGGTGACCCGACTCGAGGCCTCTGGCGCGGAGTTTGGACCGGTGTTCTCCATGCGACCCGCAGAATCCTCACGTTGGGCAAGCGGCCATCCGGGATGTAGAGGTCCCAGATCTCAGCAATCTGGCCTCGAAAACATGCCAAGGCAGAACCGGTAAGCGAGACTCGGTGGACCAACTTAGGAACATAAGCAGAAGAGTCAAAGTCGTTACATTGGATGTCCGACATCATGCGGGATGGGAGGACGAGCGAGCTCGCCTTGATGCTCGTCGAAGAGAGCAAGAAGTCCAACGACCGGAATCGCTCGTGTTTCCTGAGTACCCAGTGTAGCTCGGCCTGCTCGAAGGCTGACATCGTCGCAAAGCCTGACAAATAGAAAGCCATCAGAAATTAGTTCTGACAGTCAGAATAAAATAAGAAAAAGAAGTTGGAAGGTCAGCAGTCCTACTCCGTAGGTACCAGGTGA